GCCCCAAATGAGCTCATTGGCCTATTCTGGATGAGTTCAGGCCCTCCATCGTGCAGTGCGAAGCCGTGTCCCTGCTTCTGGCCAAGAGGAAAGTGCAACTTCACCCTGCTTCTCGCACACACCAATCAACCATTGTCCTTCGGTGTCTGGGATCAGGGATGCGGAGAGCACTGCATTGCCTTGCGCATGAATATGGATGATGAGGCACAATGGAAGGGTTCAGAAAAGGGCAGCCCAAATGATGGGGTGGGGGTGAGGAGAGGGCGCCACGCTCAGGGCTTTTTTGCTTGGAAGAAAAGGTGAATGGGAGGCAACATGGGAGGAGGGGATGAAATGATGCCTGGCAGGAGGAAAGTGGATAGAAACAGGGTTTTCCCCCTTTAGAAACCACAGTATTTTAATATTTTGTTGGAAGCTTGGGCTTGGGAAACCCAGCAAGATGGGCAGGGTATGTATGTATGTATGTATGTATGTATGAATGAATGAATAAATAAATAAATAAATAAATATTATTATTAGAACATACCGACATCCAGCAAAGCTGAATGTTGGAAGATTTGGGACCCATAAAAGGATGTATTTTACACAGCACATAGTTCAGCTGCGGAACTCTTGTCCACAGGAGGCAATGATGGCGAACACCCTTGAATGGCTTTAGAAAGAAGATCGGACACATTCCTGGAGGAGGAGAGAGCTGTCCATGTCTCCTAGCTAGGATGGCTCTGCTATGCTTCCATAGATGGAAGCAGCAATGCTTCTAAAAACCGGTTTCTGGAAGCCCCAGGAGGGGAGAGACGCTTGTGCATGAATCATGTTTGTAGGTTTTCCATAATGGGCATTTGTTCGGCCACTGTGAGAACAGGATGTTGGACTAGATTTGTAATATTTTCCTTTTATTTGCAATTAGTGTACTGTGGTACCTCGGGTTGAGAACTTACTGTATTTTTTGCACCATAACACTCACTTTTTTCCTCCTAAAAAGTAAGGGGAAATGTCTGTGCGTGTTATGGAGGGAATGCCTACGGGTGGCATGCCTATGCATTTTCCTCCTCTAAAAACTACGTGCGTGTTATGGTCGGGTGTGTGTTATAGAGCGAAAAATACGGTAATTCGTTCCGGAGGTCTGTTCTTAACCTGAAACTGTTCTTAACCTGAGGTACCACTTTAGCTAATGGAGCCTCCTGCCGCCGCTGCGCCACCAGAGCACGATTTCTGTTCTCTTTTTTTTTTATAATTTTTTTTTATTAAAGTTTAAAACAACAAAAGAAAAAGAAAACAACACACACAAAAAACAGTACAAAACTCAACAATAAAAAACACAAAGCATAACAATTAAAAACAAACTCTCTTTTCCATTTCCAATTTTAAAATACTTATTTTCTAGACTTCCTCATACCTCCCTCTTTTGTATTCTAATCTACATTATTTGTCCAGCAGTTTCTTTTCCACTTTTTTAATCCCAATCTTTAACTTAATAAAATGTTGAAATATATAACTTCAACTTTTTTAAACCTAATCCTTGATCTTAATGTCATATAACTTTAAAATTTTCCCTTTTAATATCAAATTTCCATTTCTTTAAACATCTTTAATCTTGATCTTTAATCTTAATCTATCATTAACTTTAACCTGTGCAGCTGGAAACCATTTACTTTCAGTCCAACATCCCTTTAACATTCCTTAATTTTGCAATGTTTCTGAAGGTAGTCTTTGAATTTCTTCCAGTCTTCCTCCATCGACTCTTCTCCCTGGTCACGGATTCTACCAGTCATTTCCGCCAATTCCATATAGTCCATAAGTTTCATCTGCCATTCCTCCAGCGTGGGAAGTTCTTGTGTCTTCCAATACTTTGCGATGAGTATTCTTGCTGCTGTTGTTGCATACATAAAGAAAGTTCTATCCTTTTTAACACCATTTGGCCGACTATGCCCAGGAGAAAGGCCTCTGGTTTCTTAGGGAAGGTATACTTAAATACCTTTTTAATTCATTATATATCATTTCCCAGAAAGCCTTAATCTTTGGACACGTCCACCAAAGGTGAAAAAATGTACCTTCAGTTTCTTTACATTTCCAACATTTGTTATCGGGCAAGTGATAGATTTTCGCAAGCTTGACTGGGGTTATGTACCACCTGTATATCATTTTCATAATATTCTCTCTTAAGGCATTACATGCCGTAAATTTCATACCTGTGGTCCATAACTGTTCCCAGTCAGCAAACATAATGTTATGTCCAACGTCCTGTGCCCATTTAATCATAGCCGATTTTACCGTTTCATCCTGAGTATTCCATTTCAGCAGCAAGTTATACATTCTTGACAAATTCTTAGTTTTGGGTTCTAACAATTCTGTTTCTAATTTGGATCTTTCCACCTGGAAGCCAATTTTCCTGTCCAATTTAAATACCTCCATTATCTGATAATAATGAAGCCAGTCTCGCACTTTGTTTTTAGTTTTTCAAAACTCTGCAATTTCAGTCTATCTCCGTCTTGTTCCAAAATTTCCCAATATTTCGGCCATTTGACCTCCATATTGACCTTTTTCAAGGCTTTCGCTTCCATTGGTGACAGCCACCTTGGGGTTTTATTTTCTAGCAAATCCTTATATCTTATCCAGACATTAAACAGCGCTTTCCTGACAATGTGGTTTATAAATGCTTTATGTGCTTTGACCTTATCATACCATAAATATGCATGCCATCCAAATACATTATTAAAACCTTCCAAGTCCAAAATGTCAGTGTTTTCAAGAAGTAGCCATTCTTTCAACCAGCAAAAAGCTGCTGATTCATAGTACAGTTTGAGGTCTGGCAGGGCAAATCCACCTCTTTCCTTTGCATCCGTTAGTATTTTAAATTTTATTCTGGGTTTCTTGCCCTGCCAGACAAATTTAGAAATATCTTTCTGCCACCTCTTGAAACAATCCATTTTGTCCACGATCTGCAAAGTTTGAAACAAAAACAACATTCTAGGCAATACATTCATTTTTATCGCAGCAATACGGCCTAGCAGTGAAAGCTTCAAATTTGGATTTCTGTTCTCATCCTGAAGCAAAGTTCTTAACCCAAGATACTATTTCTGGGTCAGTGGAGTCTGTGACCTGAAGCGTCTGTAACCTGAAGCATATGCAACCCAAGGTACCACTGTATATCATTTAAGAAATGATGATGATGATTTGCAGGATGCTTCAGAAACCCCCTTTAATTGCACCCTATTCTGTCGTGTCCTGAGCTAGCAAGACAAGCACCTACTTTTAAAATCTGGCGGGGCGGGACTGGCACTTTCGTCTAGGCAACATCTTCATGCCATTTCTGTCAATGACATTTTGAGATTGATGTGGTATCTGGGAAGCTGCACACAGAGGAAGGGAGGGGCGGAGAGATTTGCTAAATCCAGCTGATAGCTAACCTTGTAGGGAAGAGAATGCCAAGGCACTCGCTTCTCACAGCCCTCTCAGAACTGCGCCGGCTGTGTGTGGAAGAAGACGCACCAAGGCAGATAAAATCCTCAAAGTCGTAATGCCAAAGATGATGAGCGCTTCACACTTAAAGATGTTGCTGGCTGGGAAAGTCGTGTGTGGAAAGTCTTGTTCTTAGGGAAACAGGGAAGCTGGATGAAACTGAGTGTTGGAAGATTCAGGGGAGATGAAAGGAAGGCCTCATTTAAGCAGCACAAAGTGTGGAACTCCTTCCCACAGGAGGAACTGAAGGACTGATAGTGATGCGGTCATCAAAGAAAACTGCCTTGCTCTACCCATAATAAAAACGGGATCAATGTCAGCGAATCACCCTGTGTCTGTGGAGGGTCTGCTACAAGCCTTCCAGAATTTCTTATGATCTCTCGTTAGGATGGCTGAAAGTAACATATCCCAACATGCCTGATTATATCTCGTCCGACTGAGCTGTATTCTGTATTGATTTGTCTTGGATGTTTGCATGTGATACCAATAAAAGGTTTGATGGTGATAGTGATGCTCTTCCTTCATGGTCAGAGGCAGCAAGGCTTCCAAATACCAGTCACTGGAAACTGCAGGAGGGAACAGCTGCTCCTGTGCTTGGATCCTGCTTGCTGGTTTCCCACAAGCATCTGGTGAGAACTGGATGCTGGACCGGGTGGGACATTGGCTTGATCCAGCAAACTCTTATTATGTTCCTAAGGCTCTGTGGGTTTCAGGCATCCTCCCCCACCCCCACCCCCACTTGCAAAATGCTCCCGGGTGATGGCATCTGCCCCATTTTGGGGGTGAGATTGGCTTTGTTCTGCCTCTGGAGACAATGGAGGAGTGCGTCTTTCAGGAAGAAGATAGCCTTTGGCACACTCAGCCCCCACTTGGGCAGGAGGCCTCTTCACATGTTATGCTGAACAGTCTTTACACATCAACAGGCTGTACACTCACTGGACACAGTGCAATTGCCTCTCATGTGGGGATTTGGTTCCCAGGGCTCCACATGTGCGCAGAGCTGTCCTGAACCTAGAGGATGAGGGGCAGAGAGACAGAATCCTCTCTACTCCAGGACGCAGCATGTGGCGTGGGCATTGCCCAGCAAGCCAGGGAGGCCTTTCCATAGTGGGCAGCCTCAAAGAGACCCTGTACGAAAAGAGCTTTGAAGTTCTGTACTTGGCATTAACTGGCGCAGTTTCAAGCATTCTGCCACCACTCCCGAATGGTTGAAATCACAGAAGTTAAATGTGTGCAAAATGCAACCATACTGCAATGCAGGAGGTTGCGCCAGATTACCCCTTGGGAACATTCCAGCTCTACAATTCTATGATTATATATGAACCATCCATGATAGATAGGTCTGGAAAAGCTGTTCAAATAGAACCTATCAGGGCTTTGCTTTACCAAACAAACACAGTTAAGAGAATTTCAGAGGCCAAGGTGGCAGCAGCAACAAGAGGGCTCTCTTTTTCCAAACAGGCTGAAAAGCCGCAGTGGAGCTGGACCAGGACAGAACTGGCTTGGAGCTGAGAGCAGAAAGCCAGACTCTTGAGATGTGGTGTCGGGGAACCAGCCCACCAGGTGCGGAGGAAAATAACGAAGAGTCATGGGTGAAGGTTTAAGCAAGGAGTGAGCTCTGTCCCCCAGCAGCCTTGCATGTTTATTAGCCTTGCGCACATTACATCATGTTGCATATACACGTGTAGCACTCGGGTGGAAAAACAGCTAGGGTTTGCATTTCTTAGAATAACTATTCTCTACCAGGACATAACTCCAGACAGCATGACAGCCTTGCGGTTAGGCAGCGACAGTGACCCAGGCGTGTGGGGGGAACAAGTCAACAGAGTCAACAGATGTTTCCTCTTGCACAATCTTGCACAAGGGTGCTTATTTTTTCTATTGCACCCCACATGCCCTCCTTTTTTATTATTTAATCAGAGTCATAAATTTCATTCCGAGGCAGAAGCTCACCAGGGTCGCACACAGCGCGCTGGTAACCAGGTAGGCCGTCCATCCAGGTCCACTGCCGCGTAGCCGCGTCCCCAGGAGATGAGTGGCACAGGACCATGCCATGTTGGATCAGGTAGCTGTCTGTAAGACACAAGAGGCCGAGCCAAAGGCTCTGCTTTTCGAAAATGAATCTCAGCCGGTGTATATTCCCTATTATGGGGATACAAAAGATGGTTAAGAGTGAATAAAACAGTATGCACAATTGAAAGAATCTCGGCGGAGGGGGCATTTCGACCTCCAAGTTGTTTGGACAGCAGTGTCTTGAAGGTCAAGTGTGCCCTCTCCACAATCGCCTGTCCTGTTGAATTAAAAGGCAAACCATGGATTAATTTCACATTCCATAAATCACAAAAGGATGAGAACTGAGAGGAAATATAGGCTGGGCCATTATCCGTTTTAATGCTTTGTGGCTTACCCATCACAGCAAAACAGCGCAGGGTGTGCTGAATGACGTGACGAGCGGTCTCACCCTTCAATGGGGTGGCCCAGATAAATCCAGATGAGGTGTCCACTGTCAAGTGAACTTTTGAAAATGGGGCGAGCAGAGGGGTGTGAGTGACATCCATCTGCCAAACCGCAAGAGGGACGTACCCCTAGGGTTCACCGCATCAAAGGAAATCATGGTTGGAGCCTTAGAACAGGTAGGACATTGAGAGACAATGTCTCGTGCCTGTGCAATAGGGATTTTAAACATTTTTGCCAAAACTTTAGCAGGCTGGTGAAAGGTAGAATGAGAGAGAATAGGGTCAGAAAACAAAGAAAACACTTCAGATCGCAGTGCAGCGTCTGCCACAGCATTTCCCTGAGCCAAAAACCCTGGGTGATTGGTGTGGGAACGAAGGTGTGCAACATAAAAAGGATGACGGCGTTCTTGAATAAGATACTGCAAGGTAGAAAAAAGAACAAACAAATCAGCATCTAACGCAGGCGTGATATAAGAAACAGGCAGGGAAGACAGAAGGCGATACACATATTGTGTATCAACAAGCAAATTAAAAGGTTTGTCAGGAAAGAGTTGAAAGGCAAGGATTACAGCAGCAAGTTCAGCCCGCTGGGCGGACCTCTGTTGCTCAGTAAATTCAGTTTTCCATTTTCCACCCTCCTCCCATGCCACCACCCCCCGCGTTTTTGACCCATCAGTGAAAAGGGTAAGGGCAGAGGGGATGGGGGTTGGAGAAAGAGCAGTTTTTAAAGTATAGACAGTTTGAGAAAGAAAAGCCAAGCGTGGATCAGAGGGGGGATTATGCGTGATGGTTCCCAAAATCCACAAGTGCTACTTGAGTAGCCACGGAGGTGGAAATCAGGTGTTGTGTGTCTGTGAGTGAAAAGGCAGGTAAATTTTTCAACGTCCAGTCCAGAGAGGGCTTTTGCTCGAGCGCGCCCTTTAATTACCAAATCCATTACAGCCGCTGGAGAGGAATAAATGTTACGCGGTGGAGTATGCGGAAGGTGGATCCATTCCACAATGTTGACACCCGAGGAGGCAGCCGATTTCTGTGAGTAGAGAATAGCTGTAGGCAGCAAAGGTGTGGAAAAAATTGCCAAGGATAACTGCACATTGTGCAGAGTGTCTATGCGATCCACCATTCGGTCTCTTAATAAAGCATTAACCTGTTGTAAGGCTTGTAGCATTTCTTCTGTAACTGGGATGACTTCTCCGGGTAGTTTGTGTCCTTGTAAGGCAGAAAACAATGGTGACAAGGTGCTAGTAGGCAGATTAAGGTAATTCTTAATCCAATTCAGGTGTCCCAAAAGTTGTTGAAGGTCAACCAGCCGTAGGCGGGCAGGAAAAGACAATTGGGGAACAACCGGAATAGCAGCTTGTTGTGTCAATTTATGTCCAAGATATAACATAGGCAAAGTTTGCTGAACCTTATCTGGGGCAATACACAGTCCAAAATCTGTCAGGGCAGATGTAAGGTCTCTTAATAATTCCACTGATATGTGCTTCGCAGCCACAAGGATATCATTTGGGTGGAGGCTTTGACAAGCTGGCGTTTCTCCCCCGACACCCAAAACTTGGGCAGCTGCCTTCGTGGGCCATTCGGGAGGCCAGTCTTGTTTAGCAATCACAGTAACGTCTGCCCCTGTATCCAGAACCCCCTCTACCTCACGTCCACCCAGTGTCATTTTTAATGTAGGGCGCTGAGCTGTGAGAGGCATTGCAGCAGCAATTAAGGGGGGATTTGTAGGAGTTGTGGCATCCGCAGAGAGCAGTATGACTTTAGCCACTGGCGTGCCAGATGAAAGACCTAAGAGGGGGGCTGCTTGTTTAATTGCAGTCCCCAGTGGCGTCGGCGGAGGCTGATAATCTGGTGGTCGTGGCGGAGTAAAAGGTGGTGGTTGAAGCTGTGCAGCCGGATATATGAAAGGCATATTCAGGACTGTTTCTTGTTGTGGTTGCAACGAAGCCAAGAGGATGTTTTTGGGCGTAAGAGTTGCCATGCAGCCACGGACTTTAGCCCAGGCACTGAGGACGTGAACATTTATGCGGCCATGGCCATGAAAGTGGTCGCCAATTCTGTTCCATGCTGGAATTTCCCATGTCCCGTCCTCAGGGAACCATGGACAATGTTCATCTATTGCCAGAATCAATGCAATTAGATCACCTTCAGGTACTTGCTGTTTATTTTCCCGAAGGAGGTGCTGCATGTCTTTTAAAAATTGTTTCTGAGGGTTGGAGAGCGCAGAACCCATGATAAAAATAGAAAAATAGCTACTCACCGGGGATCCGAAGATGAGAGGCGCCTTGAGCCACAGCCGGGCGGGTGAGTAGCAGGGAGGAGCGTCTTTGACAGCACGCGTCCTGGAAGCCGTTCAGGCAATCACACGAGGCACCATTTGTCGGGGAACCAGCCCACCAGGTGCGGAGGAAAATAACGAAGAGTCATGGGTGAAGGTTTAAGCAAGGAGTGAGCTCTGTCCCCAGCAGCCTTGCATGTTTATTAGCCTTGCGCACATTACATCATGTTGCATATACACGTGTAGCACTCGGGTGGAAAAACAGCTAGGGTTTGCATTTCTTAGAATAACTATTCTCTACCAGGACATAACTCCAGACAGCATGACAGCCTTGCGGTTAGGCAGCGACAGTGACCCAGGCGTGTGGGGGGAACAAGTCAACAGAGTCAACAGATGTTTCCTCTTGCACAATCTTGCACAAGGGTGCTTATTTTTTCTATTGCACCCCCACAATGTGGTTCCTCCCAGGTGGCAAACCGGGATCAGTCTCCAGGGACTTGGCTAGGAGGAGGAGCTGCACCAAAAAAGCTCCCTGGAACTGCTTCCTTTTGCAGGTATTGTGCCAGGGTTCCAGTTCTGAAAGCAACCCCCTCCCTAGATGAGGAATGACCAGAAGACCTTCTGTTTCCACGGCCCCCTGGCCAGAACCCGCTTGGCAAGGCTGCCTGGTTGCTTCAGGCTGAGCTGATGGTCACCATCTGCTCAACAGGAAGGGCCACCTGAACTTTTATTCTCTAGGACTCAGATTCCAACTAAATATGAGGAACACCTTTCTAGTGGCAAGAGCTGTTTGGCAGTAGAATGGAAGGTGGTGGACTCTCCTCCATTGAGGGTTTTTCAGCAGAGGCTGTCTGGCCATCTGCCAGGGATGATTGAGCTGAGATTCCTGCATTGCAGGGATTTGGACTATGGGGGCCTTGGGGACCCTTCCAACTCGACCTTTCTGTGATTCCTTGCCCTTTTTGTTACCAGAGTTTCCACCTGTCACATTCTTGCCTTTCTGCACTCAGCCTAACCTACCTGGCAGGGTCCTTGTGGGGATTAACGAGGAGGAGGAAAGCCACGTAGGCCACCTTGAGCTCCTTGCAGAAAAAGGTGGGATATAAATGCAACAGACACGCAAGCAAGACTTCTTGCGAGCAGGTAGCGTAAGAAAAACCCTTGGGGCCTAATTTGATCCATAGAGCACTTGGGATCTGGTAGGCGGGGCTTGTGTGTTCTGCTCCGGGATCCGCCCCTCTGTTATGTACTAAGCTTGGATCCTAGAACAATAGGCAAGTAGGATCCTAGAATGCAAAAACTGATTTGCTTGCGGGAGAAGACCAATCAGGCTGCAGGAAGAAGTTAACCAGCCTATTAGGCTGGTAGCATCATAGAATGCAACAACTGATTGGCCTGCAGGAAAAGACCAATCAGGCTCCTAGGAGGGAAGCAGAATCAACCAGCCAGATGGGACTCATTGTGTAAATAATGTATATAAAAGCCTGAGGTTTGGGGGGGCAATTCAATCACTGTTTTACAAGCTGCAATAAAGAGCATGAAATCACTACAGGACTCTGAGTATATTTCACCCTCCCTTCAGGGTCTGTTCCATGAAAAAATGTCCCTTAAGAGAGACCCACGGCCTCCTCTTGCTTCTTGCCTCAGACTCGCCTCATGTTGTTATCTTTAGTTTCTCTCATTCTGCTATTTTTGCTACAGTATTCTGAAAGCTTGGTTTACATTTACGTGAGCCACTTATTTTTCTCAAAGAAAAAGCAACTCTGCTGAAGAAAGGTGTGGAATATCCTAAACTCAGGCGAGTGAGGGGGTATTCCCACTTTGCCAGGAGAGTTGATTTTGTTAATCCTCTCCCCACCTCCACAACAGGTAGGCTATGACAGTCCTACACACTACATACATGGTGTGAGTTTGTGTGCTTGTGTCAGGGGGATGTGAGCATCCTTTGCCCGGCTGGCTACACAGCGACTTTTGGAAGCAGTCAGCTGGAGATGCGTCCGGCCCAGATCCTGCTCTGCCGCTTCCGCTGTCCTCAGGACCCCCCACCCAGACTTTGGGTTCCAAGGCCGTTGTGCTCAGAACAGCAGAGCGCCTGAGGCCAGCCAGCTGAAGCACGAGCCAGAAATACTTCCTAAACACGTGCAGGAATTAAGGGCTGCATCACTCGCTACGCATCCAAGCTGCACTCCCAGCGTTCACACGCAGCGTGTTTGAAGCAGTTGCACGAGTCTTTTCCACCACTAGTGCAAGGCTGGCACCCAGGAACAATCTGCTACAGAAAAAGTTGCAAAGTATGTTGCCAGTGGCTTTCAGCTGAAACCAACAGGCTGCCTAGCCAGGACCCAAAGGGCATGGACAAGACCCTGCAAAGAACCCAGATCCCAACTCTGACCCCTTCAGTGTCCAGCCTGGCAGCAGGATTACTGGACCTAAGAATGTCCTCCATGACACCAGGCGTTGAGTGGGCTTCTTGTTTTCCAATGTGATCTATGCCGCTCTCTTCCCACAATGCCCTTCTTCAGGGGTCGTGATGAACCCTACTCTATTTTACAAGCTCAATTACAAGCTACATCAGGAGAGACTGCATGTCTCTAATCTCTGGTCGCCTGTTCAGAGACGCCAGTTGTCCTCTGACATTGCAATGACTGAGCAGTCGCTGAATGCATTTAACAGGACCAGAGTTAACTGGTGGAGCTTTGCTTCCCGGACACAAGGTCTCGACTCAGAATCCCAGACATCTCAAGTTAAAAGGAACTCAGGAAGCAAAGTGGGAAGCCCTTTGGAGGGGCACGAGGAGTCCATCAGGGAGACCGGCTTTGGGGTCTCAAATCTCCGTTGCGCCCTTTGCAACACCAAAATTATGCCCCTCTTGCCACTTGCTCTCCTTTCTGGAGCATAGTTCCTGCACCCCCAAGAATCTACCCCTAGTTCATTTCCACTCCCCTAAATCCCCCTCTCATAGCTAGCCAGGCTTCCCACGGGAGCCCCCAGAGAAGTCTGCACACATTAGTAGCCTGTGGTCAGCGATCCAAACGCATTTGGCATCATGCATCCAATTCAGCATCTGAGAAACGACCACAAATAGCATTTTTAAGCATCTGCTAATGTGAGCCGAAAACTAAATCGAGTCTGTGGACCTTGTGCCCACCCACACGCTGCCAGCTGGTCCCCGGCACAGAGCTGGTGTGGTGCTTGGGGGCCGTGCCCATGTGGCTCCTACATGCCCCCGAGCTGCCGTGAGCTGCCTCCTTGGCAAAGTTGGAGGTGATTTCAGGTGACGGTGCATGAAAAGCTGTGATGGAGCATGTGGCAAGAGACAGGAGGGCTAATTGTTTTCCAACTATAATTACCTGAGAAGATGCTGTTTTATTGGACTGGATAATCACAGCTAAGAAGACCGATAAAAGGCAAATATCAGAGACCAGCTTGTGTTCGTCTTTAATTAAAGAGGCAAGCCACTGCAAAGTTCCTTCTCCTCTTTCACAAAGGCAGGTTCTTACATGAAACAGAAAAAGGATGGCCCTCTGAATCTCAGAAATATTCTTCCTACAAAGCACGAGGCTCCTAGGGAGACAGATTAGGAAGGGATTGGCTTCCAACAGAATGGCCTATGCCATGGGTAGGCAAACTAAGGCCCGGGGCCCAGATCCGGCCCAATTGCCTTCTCAATCCAGCCCGAAGGCAATTGGAGGAGCACCAGCTATTTCTGGTGCTCCTCCAACCCGGAAGTGGACAGCCGTGCAGTGCAGGGCTGGTAAGAGCGGGTGGCAGTGGCAGGCAGCAGGGGTCGCCGCGGGCCGGATAAACGAGTCCCTCGGGCCTTATCTGGCCTGTGGATCTTAGTTTGGGGACCCCTGATGTAAGCCCTGGGAGATGCCTTAAAAGAGCTATTGGGAAAGGGCCTTAGCCAGGGACAATTCTTTAGCTGCGTTGCTAAAGGGGGTTGGTCTAGAGGACCCCTTTGGGTCCCTTCCAACTCCACATCCTACGATGCAGTTGCAATTACCCCTTGAAACCGAGGTCTTGCCATTGGGGGGAGGCTTGCATGGGGCTCCTTTGCAGGGCACATGCCTCCCCCCCTTCTGCCTTTCCTCCTCACGCCTCACACTCCTATCAGCCGCACCACCGTGAGGAATAACTGCCTCCCCCCCCCCCGCAAGTCTTTTATATTCATGAGAGGAGCCGGTTGCTAATATCATATCATTGCCTGCCTGTGCCGAGAGATTACCAAGGCAACCCAGCCCTTGGCATGCAGTGCCAGCGCCTGAGCCGTCCTGATGCTCCCCAACCCTGACAAATCTGTTGTCAGACAAACGCACAACCTGTTGGAGACAGTTTTCATTATCTTGTGTGTCCCCCACCCCTCCCCCCACGACGCCTGTAATGAGCTGACCATCCTTTCCCACAGAGAGGCTGCGAGGGTCGTAATTGTCACCACGAACCATGTTTTTAAAAAAGGCAAAGCTCAGGAATGAAAAGCCCAGCTGCTGATATCAGCGCCACGCATTGCAAGGGAGAATCCTCCGCAGTCAGGGCGATGGATGGCCGGGTGTCAAATGAAGTCCCAACTTGGACTCCCAGAAGGAGCTGATATTTTGTTGTTGTTTTTATAAGATATTTATTAAGGTTTTCAGAATATTACAAGACAAAAAAAAAAGAAAAATACAAAATAAAAACAGTTAAAAACAATTCCTTCCTTCCGTTACTTAGCCTTCATTTGCTTATTTCCAGGACCTCCTCACACCTCCCTTTTTTGTATTCCAATTCAGTTATTAGTTCAACAAATCCCTCCCTCTTTATGTATCCTAATCGTTAATCATAAAGTATTTGTAATTTTAAATTTTTACCTATTAATAAACCATTTTTTTCATATTCCCTTATAAAATTTCGGCTAAAGACCACTTAGTTTCTATCCGACGTCATTCTGACATTCATTAATTTTGCAATATTTCTGTAAATAGTCTTTAAACTTTTTCCAATCTTCTTCCATCGACTCTTCTCCCTGGTCTCGGATTCTGCCAGTCATTTCCGCCAATTCCATATAGTCCATCACCTTCATCTGCCATTCTTCCAAGGTGGGTAGATCTTGTGTCTTCCAATACTTCGCGATGAGAATTCTTGCTGCTGTTGTGGCATACATAAAAAAAGTTCTATCCTTCTTTAACACCAATTGGCCGACTATGCCCAGAAGAAAGGCCTCTGGTTTCTTCAAGAAGGTATATTTAAATACCTTTTTCAATTCGTTATATATCATCTCCCAGAAAGCCTTGAGGATCTGATATTTTGATGGAAGCCACCCAGAGTGACTGGGGCAACCCAGTCAGATGGGCAGCATATAACTAATAAAATTATTATTATTATTATTATTATTATTATTATTATTATTATTATTTCAAATAACCAAGAGGTGCTTGTGTTTTTAAGTAGACTGGAAAAAACACCGGTTGGTTGG